TTTTTAAATACTCACAAGCAAAAACCGAGAGAAACTGGTTTTTTTTGTAAAACTGCATAAAATATTTTTTCGAAATCTAAAGCTTGCACAAGCGCCACTTTTATACATATGGAAGGAATTATGGAGCCAATTTCATGTTGTTTCAATGGATTAGCGTTAGCAATAATAGCAGTGGAATTTAATGACAAAATTTAAGCGCACTAAGTTCACGAATATATTTTCACAATATATTTCCAGCCGTTAACTGCTTTCCTGCCTGCACTTTCGCTGTTTATTGCATTGTTATTCTTAATATTGTTAAAATATGTTTGGCGTAGACTCGCGTATAGCTGCAGAAGTGGCACTTGATGCTGCACCAAACCAGCCAGAAGTTTACCGGTTGCAATTTCAGCACTTCGTATGCAATTTTGTTATTGTTGTTGCACTCCAAATGTTGTTAATTATATACAAACCAAGCTAAAACTTTTCGACTTTTATTAGTTATGCACTTTTGCTTCAAAAAAAAAAAATACTGCCAAACGTTACACATTGCTACACACTTGCATTTTGCTGCTTTTTACCTTTTCCACTATTCCTTTACAGCTTCTTCGTACACCGCACTTCTACTGTTAACTGCTTTCGTACAATTTACGTGCTATTTTGCCTGCGCACGAGCACTTTTCACACAGTTTTCCACAAATTTTAGTAAATAATTCCAATCAGCTCTTCAACTTCAAAATTACATTCATTATATTTCCAAATTTTTGCTTCACCTTACGCTTATTTTCACTATTTAGAAATCTTTGCATTTGCACACTTGTATTTTGTTTCTGCATTGGTGGCCGTTTGCTATTTGGCCTACACAACACAAAACACACACGCTCACGCACACCGTTTATGTTTCGGAAATTCGCGCTCAACCGTACGCGAAAACACATTCGTTTACTTCAAGCGCTCGATTCGAATTGAATACGGAACAAGTTCGTTTCCTACGCAGCGGTGTGTTGCGGTTGCAAGCCGGCAAAACAAAATGAATTGGAACGAAGTTGCCGGATGACACGAAAGTATGCCTTCACAACGGTAGAATATTTAACTAAAAACGTGAGGATTTGTGGTATGCTAACAAAAATATATATGAAATGCAAAAATTTCAATATTTTAGGTATTTGTAATTAATTTTGCTCTCAATTTCAATTATATTAGTGCTTGTATCCACAATTAATTACTTTAAGTAATAAGTGGCAGCATGTGCTTTCAATTTGATGCGAACTTGTTGCTTGTGATTGGAGAATTCCATGCCAACATGTTGCGCGCGGTGTTGCCGTGTTCGTTCGAGAGTAGCAATTTGAAATAAGTAGGTAATTAGCGGGAATCAAAAAAGAGTGAGAAATCAGAGAACATACGCTTACATGAACTATTTAAAGAAATATATCAACATATTTTTGATCATTAATAACTTATAATAAAATGAGAATAAATTAACATAAAATAATTTAAAAAATAATAAATAAAAGTTCAATAGCGGGTTTATCAAGAGATTCCTCTTTAATATGCCCTGGTTGGGCGAAGTTTAATTGTACAGATTTCCCGCTGTTATAAATGCGAGAAATGTTAGTTGAATGCCCTCGTCGTATGGTGAAATTACCGGGTTGAAATTTTACGAATGTTCGCCACATTCTCATTATATACTGTTCTCTGAAAAGATTTCCAAATAATACAATTCATAAAGAACGAAGCAATTAAAACAGAGAACCGAGATTCAATTATATAAGGTTGTATTGATAGCCCAAAAACAACAATTTATCAAACGTAATTAGATCCATAATGTCAAAATAAGCTGTTTTGCTTTTATGATTCAAAAATAAAATAATCAAAATTCTGAAATGTCGAGACGAAATTATTAAATTTTACTACCGAAAATCAAAATCAGTGGCCTCAACTTTGGCCGTTTGACCGGAGGAATCGTCGTATGTTCGTGAATTAGGCTGAGCAACAACTTGAAAATGATTCGGATTTTCCTGAAAAAAATTACGGTTTGACGTGGTTTATTGGGCCATACTTCTTCCGTGATGATGAAGACCGACACGTTACTGTGAATAGCTATATCGCTACCGCTCAATGATAACCGTATATTTTTGGCCCGAATTGTATAATATGAACTTAGTCAATGTGCGGTTACAACAGGACGGCGCCAAAAGCCACACAGCGAATGTCACAATCAATTTATTGAAAACCAAATTCGGTGGACGTGTTATTCCACGAAATGGCTCATTCAATTGGCCGCCTCGGTTGTACGATTTGGCTCTGTTAGCCTGTTTCCTGTGGGGCTACGTCAAGTCTATAGTCTATGCCAACAAGCCAGCGACAATTGATGAACTTCGTATGAATATCGAACGTGAAATTGCCGTAGTATCGGCCGATTTATGTTTAAAAACCGTCAAAAATTTGGTTCAGCGTCTGGACTTCTGCCAGTGTGCCCGTGGTGGCCTTGCAATATAAATCGAGTTCCATACCTAATGGCAACGAATGCGCTGCTTTTGGAAAATCTTAAAAATGTAAACAGAAAATTCATGCGCCAAAACAAAAAAAAAAAACACCGATTTTGAAAAAAACACTGATTTGACATTATGTTATTAGGTAACAGCTGACTTTTGTTTTGAATTGTTTTGAATTTTCAGCAACATCTTTCTTAGCGTTCGAGCTAAGTGTCCGTCCCCTTGCATTCGATGACAATTTTATACTTTTTCACCAGTTCCAATAGGTGCTCCGACTCGCTAGCAGTGAAATTCGAGGTTATTTTATTGTTTTCATCCATTTTCGACATAATTTTCCTCTCAAATTTATGTAGTGTCTGTTATAATTTAAATATTTTAAACATATTTTTATGGATGACATTTATAAAACATATGTTGCCTATAACGTTGCCATATATCACAATAAAATTTTATAGAAATTAAGTATTGACTGTGAAACGCAAACGACTACTCGTGCTCACTCAGTCTGCAACTATGCTTAGCTAAGATTTTATTTGGGCACAACTTAAATATGGACTGTGAAACTGGGCATAAACTTCATAATTGGTCAAGAAGTTTAAAAAGTCGAATCAGTTTCGGGTTTCAACTGCGAATATGTCGTAGACGAGTTCTAGATAAAGCATAGGAAGTTCCCAGCGTCTTTCTCATGTCTACTTTCCTGCACTATCTGTCCATCCGGCAGTGAATTGTTACCTGTCATTAAGCCAGCAACCGCTCTATCGTCCTTTCGATGAGAGTAAAAATCATGCAAAATTTTCTTCGCCGTTTTTGCACATGATCGTTGCGATTATGCGTGTTCTATGAATGTACTGTATATATTAAACTTCCTTATATATTATATTTTTGCGTTATTACCTAACTCAGCCGCTTCCCTGATCACAAAGGCTTACGCCTGGAAGACACTGCAGTATTTCGAAAGCTTCAAGGGTTACCTGTGATATAGCTCCGATCAGTAGATTCCGGCGATCAGTA